TCAAAGATGATTGAATTAGCACTTTACATTCAAATAATTACGGATTTTAATCTTATTTTAAGTAAAAAAGTTAATTTTTATTCCTTAAATCAATAAAATTGACTTTTCTAGAAATAAACCACGTCGCTTTCCTACAATTCAAATGCGATTTTGCAAACCATCTTAAAAACGCCGTGTTTAGACTACCTCCATCCATGATCTTTCCCAATCTGTTCATGATTAAGACAAAATATAATAATTTAAAATAAAAAATATGAAATTAAAGGTCTGCAATCTCGGCCCATTTTTTTCTCCCATGCAATCTTAGATTGCAAACTTATAAATATAATTAAATAAGAGGGTAAAAGAAATATATTTATTTTTCTATTTTTTCTCCCATGCTATCGTTTTTATTTATTTAAAATTAATATATATATATATATAGAGAGAGAAAGATGGATTATTATACAACCCTTTACATTTGTACAACTAATACAACTCAATCTCAATTGTTTATTTAATTTGATGAATATGTAATTTTATAAAAGTTTTGATTGTTTTCTAATATAAAGTATTGATCATAATTAATAAACTTTATTCATTTTTCATAAATATTTAAATCATAATAAATGAACTCTTATCATTTCTATAAATATTTCAATTTATTGGATTGCATTGTTTGTACAAATGTGATGAGTTGCATTTGAAATAATCTCTCTCTCTCTCTCTATATATATATATATATATATAATATTAAAATATATAATTTTTATAAAATAATTTTTGAGATTGACTTGAATTATGAATAAATTATAACAAATGTTAGATTGAATTAGAATTTAGATTAAGTAGGCAAAAGAGAGAGAATTTTTTTTAAAGTAAAAATTATATTGAACAAGGGGCTGTGTACTCAAATCCTTACCTGGAAAGCATTTACCGGTAAAATTCAACACTATCATTTATTTACCGGGTAAAATGTTAATCCACCAAAACGACATTGTATGCAACAATTTATCCGGTAAGCGCTAACTATAGTAAGAGTCATCGTCCTCACTTACCGAGTAAGACTCTCGGTCCTTGCGTTCGCTCTTATCGGGTAAGATTTTTGGTTTTTGTCATATTCCTCCGTTAAGGTAATGTAACTTATTAAACACTTATTCGAATAAGTGTTTGGTAAACGACCATAATTCTATTATTAAAGATAGTATTAAGATAAATTCATAACTCCAGGGCAGTGAAAGTTAGATAAATACTTAATTCCTTTTTGTAAAAATAATAGATGTAAAATATTTCCATATTTGGAAGTGGACAACCGGCCTTCTAATCAATCGGACTACATTGGGAACCGCCGGTCCAGTTGGTGTGTCCAAATCTTTAAACCGACATGGTGGATATATCTGTTTTTCTTTTAATTAAATAAATTAAAAGGGCATTCTAATTGTTTTGAATTCAAATTCATACTTATGGCTGTTAGATAATTACTGAATGGTTTGGTGTAAAATGATTAAGAGGCTCTCATGATATAGTGTAAAATAAAATATAATTGTTTGATAATTGTGTACAATGAAATTATGGCTCTTAATGGTTAAGGGAGTCTCAGGTTACAAAATCATTCAGAGGGTTTTAGAATCATTAAGAGACATATTTTTTTATTACCAAACACGATTCAGATGTTGCTTCTTAATGAAATTATGAAGAGGTAAACAAACAACCCATTATACACCAGTTGCCTACTTGCTAGGAATGTGTAACTGTTAAAATAAATGTTTAAAGTAAACCGGAAATGATAAATTATCAGTAGAAGAAAACATTAATAATAGTGTGACCAAATATCTAATTTACAAAGAAAGGCAGATATAGGCATATATGATATGGATGGTTCGTATGCTACTAGCATGCACATGAGTTAGCTAGAATGCATGTGATAGTATTCAGAAATCCAGTCTTTCATGATACCAATTTCTCTTTTTCTAACATCTCGAAGCCAATCTGGATCTTTATCAGTTGAAAATCTTAGATCAACATGATGAGCCCCTGCCACGACATGATGAACAGTGAATATAACGAAAAGCATACCAATTCTTATAATTATATCCGTCATTTGTGTATTTTTGTACTTGTTAAGTGGCTTATGATAAGTTTATGACACTCCCATACAACTTTTTATACGAGTTTCAGCACTTGGTCATGAAAGAAGTTTTAACGGTTTTGACAAACAACATAACAAAAAGAAAAATGGGAAATAATATCATGAATATTTTTCATACCTTTTTCTGCAACTATCGCAATAATGCTTTTTGATATGTTATTAAGCACCCTGTGTGTAAACATATAATACTGTTAATTCTCAAATATATACACTTTTATATGGATATGTAAAGTAGGAAAGGGAGATACCCGCCACCACTCCAAGGGTCTCGTAAACCGTTGAAAAAAATAATATTACTACCAAATCGCTTTAACACTCTCGTAATATCCTGTCTCATGCAAAAAGTTACAGAAAGGTTAGACCATGTTTAAGTGCCGTCATAATTTTTTATCTCGTAATATAATGATTAAAGTTTTAAATCATTATAAAAGCATATTGCAATATCTAGAAATGAACTTTCTAAAACAAAAAAACCTCAGCTTTCACACACTTTTCATCTCACATGTCTATAATTTATCTAGAATAAGATATCAAAATAAAACATAGGGTTGCTTTGTATTAGGTTGGGTTCCGGTAAGAAATGAAGTTATGATGAGAAGCGTAAGAAGAGATCTCCACTCTTAGATCGATCATAATTGAATGTCAACACTAATGAGGTACACCGAGATGCACCAGATTAATTCTTCTCTAAAGCGCAATTCATGGTGGGCATTGTAAAAGTGATCAAGGGTTCAGATCTTTTCTTATGTTTCTCATGTTAACTCTTTTACTCACACGATCATTCACCGCTTTGTATATTCATTATATATAGGATTGGGTTCCGGTGAGGATGATAGTTAAGGTAAGAAGCGTAAGAAGGGATCTCCACCATTGGATGCTCATTAGGATGAGATGCACCGAAATAAAATGTATTAAAGATACACCAGATCAATCCTCATATCAAACGCGATTAATGAATGAGTTTGAGATTAAAGGTGATCAAAGGGACATATCACTTCTTATACTTCTAACCTTAACTCTCATTCACATTCAATTACAAACCATGTAATTCATACGAATCTTACAAACCTAATCTCAACCACTGATTTTGTTTATTTTAAATTTAGAGATGCAGTTGAAAGTAAATTTAGGATCCGAATTAATCCACATTGTTGATTATCTACATGTATGGTTGAGATTGGTTTATAAAGTTTATAAGAATTACATGGTTTGTAAAATAAACCACCCCTATATATATATATATATATATATATATATATAGAGAGAGAGAGAGAGAGAGAGAGAGAGAGAGAGAGGTTCAAGGGAAAACCTCAACAAAATGAAAAAATGAGGAACACCCGAATAACCGTTCATCCGTATGACATGCACATATGTATACAAGTAACTAAAGATATTTCCTGGTGTTTATGCACGTGTGCATAGTTACTCGTATGCAAATGTGCATACTGTACCGATGAATATTCACCATGGTGCTTCTCTCAATTTTCATTTTTTATGGTTTTCTCCTAAATCTAATCTTATATATATATATATATATATATATATATATATAATAANTTATATATATATATATATATATATATATATATATAATAAAAGAAAAAAAAAAAAAAACTATATATACATACATGGCCACCAAATTCTGTGGTAATCCAAGTGGGCCTGGGCTGAATCTCATAAGCTGCTTCACAATATTTGACATGGTCCGTGTAGCTGTAAGTTGAGGCTGGAAATATACTCTCCTCCTTGTTTCCACTTATTGGCATTACCATCTCTGTACAAGCCTGTCCAATTCCGATTCCGATTTCAATTCCAATTCCAATTCCAATTACCTTCTTTTTTCCTTCTACTTTTCAAACTCAACCAAAAATCACAATCGGTTGATAATAATTATTACCTGCCATTGCCATCCTCCAAGATCATGAGGATCCGAATCGTCATCAAGATCAAAACACTTGACGTCTCCGGTGTAGTTGTAGTAGATGTTAGCTGCTTGATACATCTTTGCAAATGTGTCGTTCCCGAGGGTAGGATCGTCAATTGCCTTGCACATCTACGTACATCAGTAAGAGTTAGCGTCGTTTACTAAACGTTTACCATACAACGTATTGTCTTTTACCTTCTAAACGTTTACCGGGTAATAATTTTCTCTCGCACTTACTGAATAATCGTTTATTCAACGGTCCCTTAATTAAATCGATCTTTAAAGTATATACACATTATTTTTATTCATCTACCAACAATCACTACAAAAGAATACCAATGAAATTGATTGTGTTTATAATCTTTTTCAAATTCTATATTATTAAAAAACATTTTATATATTTAATTATTAATAAAAAAATATATAATATAATACCTGTTTAATCGGATAAGCCGGCAATGGAGCAATAAAATTAGAGGGCGTTGGATAATCCGTCATTGATACATACACCAATGCCGATGAAAGCCAACCTTCAAGATAACTTCCGCTAATATAATTTCTGCACCAAAAAGTTATTTTTAATTTTAATTATTTACCGATTAATTAAATAATCGATCATGTAAGAAGAAAGTTATGCTGAGAAGCGTAAGAAGAGATCTGAACCCTTTTAATCTCATACCCATCCGTGAACTGTGTTTTAGAAGAAAATTGATTCGGTACACTTCATTAGTGTTGACATTCATTTACGATTGATCCAAATGTGGAGATCTCTTCTTACGCTTCTTACAAGAACCCAATTAACTTTTTACATATTTCTTCTCAAACGTAATTAATTAATACATATTTTTTGGTCCTGTTAGATACTAAATTTCTCTCTCTTTTATTTACCATTTTTTTGAACTATTACTATATACTAAAAAAACCAGACCCCTATTTTCGAAACTGTGGGCCTTGGCGTGCGCTCAACCCATCCTCTCCCAAGGACGACTCTGTACATAATACAATAGAAATTAATATCTTACTTGCATATATGAAATGATTTTCGAAGTAATTCGAGTCCCCCAGGTGAACCAGCCGTGTCTTCGATTTCTCTCCACAACCCTTTTATTACTTTGTAGCAGTTTTCACTCTCGCTCTGTAATATCATACAATCACGATTTTATATCGTACTGATCACATGAATTGTTGGTTTGTTATATTTATCGTATCTAAAATATAATTTATAATAAATGGTACTAAAAAAAATACCCTAAAGTCTTGGGTAATGATGTTGTTGAAGGTGTATTGAGATGTAATGTTCTCAAATTGGAGGATTGGTGAAGAAGATGACAGTGCTCCAATGGCTACATGTGGATACTTGAGCCTAAACCATGCTGCCAACACTACAAACAAAAAGACCCATTAATTAATTAAAATAATTAAAACAATTTTAATTAATTAATTAATTAAAGAAATGATGCTTACTTCCACCATAGGAACCTCCAAAGACAATAACAGCAGAATCCATGGCTGTCAAGTTGTTCTTGAGATCAATAATGAGGGTGGCATAATCAGCCAATGCTTGTGTTGAGCTCAAGAATCCAAGTCTCTTTGAATTCTTATATGCTTTCTTTCTATCACCTCCATATGGTATTGATTTTCCGTAGTACCTATGCTATAATAACTTGTACCTTCCAAATTTAGAAACCCAATTAACTAAAAAACAATAAAAAAGATGGCGATCGATTACCTCTATGAAAACGAGAAGGGCTTTGAATTCAGGGGCGATATCGAACATGAAGCCAGTGTTTTGAGCAAACCATTCGATATTGCCTTCGTTCCCTGTATATACAAAGATTGGAGCTTTAGTCTTGGGGCCACCCCAGAAGGTGTCGTTGATCAAATAGCGTTGTTGGAAGGTTTGGTAGCTTTGTGGATTGTAATTGAAGTGATCGAGAATCTGGGTGAAGTATTTTGTCTTGTAAAGCTCGTTTTTGTCGGGAGACGACGGCGTTTCGGGGCGGATCATTGAAGAAGGGAAGTACCATGGTGGGAATTTTGCAAAAGATGAAGTGATGGATTGAGAAAAGATTAGCGAAGAGAAGAAGGGTAGCAACCATGGTGGCATTCTTGTAATCAAGTGTTATTGATAGGGTTGTATATAATTTTTGAAGAATTTAAGGGAATTTTGGTGGACAAATCCAGATAAAAGTACAAATTTTTATGCATGCTGTGTATATAATAAATTAATGATTATATATATATATATATATATATATATATATTAATTTTGGAATCATTTTAGGCTTTGATTTGATGACCGTTGGAAAGAAAAAAACAAAAGAGAGTTAGGAATGACGTTTTGATTGGTCCGTCTGTGTGGATTATATAAGCTATAAAAGAATCTATTTTATATGGCCAACATAATTTCTTGAAAACATCTCAACAAGACGATATATGTATATATAAATCGGTTGATTACTAAAAAACAAGAGTAAACTATGAGATTTACGAATAACACATTTTTTGTTATTGCAGTTTTAAAAATTAAAATTACAAAATGATTATCGTTGTTTACAAAAACGTCTACATTTTGTTCTGTTTTTAATGCTCGTTAATCTTTTTGTTAAATAAGATGCATTTTTGTATTTTCATCGATTTTTTTGTTTGTTTTCTACCTTATTAAAATCGATTTTATAATTTTTGGTTCATGTAGTTTTTGTTTGGGTAAAAGATAGAAAGATTGATACAAAAACGAAAATGTTTTATTTAACGGAATTTGTAACGGACGTTATGAGGAGAGACCAAATCTAAACGTTACGATGACTATCTAGTAATTTCGAAACTGTAAAAATGAAAAGTGTTAATTTTGACAAACTATAAGACCAAATTTGTAGTTATCGCATCAGTGTGATGTGACAAAAAGAGGTGATCGCATTTGTATGATACGAGAAATTATGATATCGCATCAATGAGGTGTGACAAGATTGGTGTATTAACCTTTTTTTTTAATGATAATGTTGATCAGATTTTATTATTTTTGATTTTGAAAAACTTTTTTCTACGAGAACAACAATTAAATGTTAAAAGATATTTAATAAGCAGGTGTAACACTCCATTTCCACATTTGCATAAATTCACATATTCCATATAATATTAAATATAAATATTATACACTGGTCTCAATATATATACACAAATTGCTACATATAGAAGTAGGTACAAACTTTTTGTTCACATACAGTACATGACTTGTATATAATAGATTCTCAAGTACATGTGCATATTCAATTTCCCAAAAATTCCACGTATACAAAACAATAATAACCACCTTCACAACTTCCCCTTCCCTTTACCTTCCACCGGTGCTCGTCCTGTAATGCACATTTTTAAACACAAAATGAGGGTTAGACCATAAGGTCTAATAAGTAATCTCTTTGATTGCAACTACATGATGAAAATCACCAAACACTTTTTGGAAAACAATTATTTGAAACGACAATATGCAAATAACATTTAATGACATCAAACCTCTTCTGTCACATCATACAAATGAGACAACCCCATTTTATCACATTAAACAACATAATAATCAATTTGTCGCATCCAACACACCAATCTTGTCGCACCTCATTGATGCGATATCGTAATTCCTCGTATCATACAAATGCAATCACCTCTTTTTGTCACATCACACTGATGCGATAACCCCACTTTGTCACACCCAATAGATGCGATAACCCCAATTTTTCACATCCAATAGATGCACATATAGATGCGATAACCATAACTTCTCCCACCATATTGGTGCGATAAACCCATCATATCGCATAACAAGAATACGATAAAACAACACTTCAAATCAGAACCCAATTTCATCGCATTAGACACATTCAATAAAATCAAAACTATCGCATCATAAAGATGTGATAACGATAGTCCCATGATCTAAAGCATGTATATTTATGAAAGAACTCGTCATATTTTAATGCAATCTCAATATTCACTCATTTTCCTAAATTCAAGAAAAATAGAAAAATAACAATAAACCAACGGTTTGGTTTGGGAGAAATAAAACTTAATAATTACGACTATCATTAAAAAGTGGGCCATCATATTGAAAACGACCCTCTAATAATTAAATATTAATAAAATAATATTCTTTCAAAAAAGCCAAAACTTTTAATCGTAACCACAACAAACAACAAGCAAAGAACAACACCACACCTTCACCAAAACGCAAATGCAAAAGCAAAAGCAAAAGCCCCCCCAACACAAACACACAAGAAACTAAAAGAAAACCACCAAAAAGCCTTACGAAAAACCTCCAAACAGCCCCCACCACTTGGATACAACCAACCGAGCAAGCGAAAGAGAAAAAAACCAACCCAACCACAAATTATAATGCTATTGTAACCACAGACCTCTACATGAAGAAGGCAAAGAGGCGAGATCTTGGAGGGAAAAAGAGTCCGTCATAGAGTTCACATTTATTGATCCGAGACCCCACCACCTAGACATGCTCGACAACACGCTAGAAATTAACCGTTCTACAACGAACAAAACAATGGTAAATCAACTTGATGTCATCTCCGCAACGCGGGCACAAAACCAAGTGTAAGTCATCCAATCGAAACTATATGGAATTGGGTAGTCCCTCGAAAAATAACCTAATAACCTTTAACCAAAAACTCTTTCATCACCTAATAACCAAAATCATTTATGACCATCACCATATGGAGAAATGTGATTAACCATGCTCACTACCTCCTCTATCTCACTTAAAAGCCTTGCCTCTTGGTTGTCTAGCCCATTCCCCAGCGACGGACCCACCGTTTCGTTCCTTCATCATAGATGAAGTTTGTGGTAACCGTAAACTCCAATATCAACCACAAATCAATAGATAAATTAGGAAATTTATAATTTTGATAATTTTAAATTAAAATTTTAATACAAGGACATTTTTGTTTCTCTCATCTCTTCTCTCTCTGGCCACTGTCATCCGGTGATACCACTGTGATACCTAAAAATATTGACTATGTTAAACAAAATATTTAGATTAAATGGTGATTTTCAACATAATGTATTACATTTAGAGGGTAGGGAAAAAAACCAAACTGATCATATATTTACATCATTGCACTTTAATACTTTATCATATTTTCACGTGTATGAATAACTAAATCCAATACCAACAGAATAATTATGTAACACCCAAATTTTATACACACGCATGCATGAATGCGTACACACACAAAATATGAAAGTTCCTTAGGTTTCTTTGGTTTCAAAAAAGTTGAAGTATTTATTTATTTGATCAATTTCAAAAAGTTTAAGAATTTATTTATTTATTTATTTAAAAAGACTTATGGGTGGTTTACCAAGCGCTTACCAAGTCATATTACTTTACCAAATGAATATATGCAAGGGACCAAGAACCGTACCCGGTATGAACAAACAGGGACGTGCCTACTTTGGTTGTTACGGTGGCACGTGCCACTGTATTAGTCCTCCGTCGAAGGGTAAAAAAAATTAGGTTCGTGAAATGTGCAATCGTATTAATCTGTTGTGTGTCACCATATGTATTTTGAAACTACAATGAGAACAAGTTTTATTTTGTAGAGTTAGTTTGCAAGACTTTTATTCCACCCCAGACCCAAGTTCGAATCGTGTTAATACCACTTTTTTAGTCAAATGGTGCCACTGATTGAAAAAAAATTAGTATATTTGTTTCGTATAGTCAAATGGTGCCACATTTTAAAATTTGTTCCCTATAGTTTTTTCCTATAGGCAGACGGTGCCACCGAAAAAAACTCTAGAACAAATGCAAGGACCAAGAGTTTTACCCGATAAGTGAGAGCGACGACTCTTACCATGGTTAATGTTTACCATGTAAATTGTTGCATATATACGATACTGCTTTAATATACTAAAATCTAAGTAAGTGATATTAAATTATACCGTAAGTGCTTACCCTGATAAGCTTTTGATAAACGACTTCTTAATAACTTAATCATTCAATTTATAAAAGTTTGTTGGATTTTTTTAATTTTTTTTCTTGGATTTATTATAATTTAAGAAGCATTTATATGATAATTTCTACTTTAGAAAGAGAAAAGGGAAAAGGTGGGATACCCTAAAAGTCATAGAGTCATGATGTTAATTGTAGGTGCATTGACATGGGATGTACTCAAATTAAAGGACAAATACATGTGGAAGACCATCTAACACGTCATTTTCGTGGTTACATAATAGCTTCAAATTGTAGCATTTTTAAATTATATCTAAATCACAATTTAATAGCATAATTAAAATGTATTTGTTTTAAGACATATAAATAATTAAAATTCAATTAACCATGTACATAGTACCGTGTTAAATTTAATAGGACACTGTTTATAAATATTAAAATGTCATCGAAAAGTTTGGACGGTTGGAAGTAAAATGACCAGATATTATCCCGTTGATTGCACATGGCATTAAAAGTTAGTTTCATAAAATAAAAAATATATACTTTTATAGTTAATAAATAAACCTTTTTTATATTTGTGAAACTATTATATCTCAAAGTTTACAATAAATACATGAGCAACTTGTACCAAGAAAATGTTAATTAGGTGAGTATAATATTTACAGGATATGTGCCTGAGCAACTTGAATATACCAGCAATCCAACCCCACAAGCTGCGTTCGTTTAGATGTATTAAGTAGTTATTATTGGGATTGAGTATAAAAGAAACATTCTGGTTTTATATAATACAATGAATTCATTCACCGCAAGTTTAATTTTACATAATTCCATTTCAGGCTGGGGGGGGGTGGAAAATTCATTCTCAATTTCATTATCTGTCATTCTCATTTCTATTTCGTTGTATGAACCAAACAGCTCGTAAAGTATGGTTGAATAGGGTTTCTTCCATTTTGAGAGGATGTGCTATAGATTTTGTCGTAGGATGATGAAGAAGTCGTCCGTTGTTGGTAGGTTTTGTCCATAATATCAATGATGATGCCGCCTTGTATGAGGGCATGAGGCTTTGTATGACGTAAAGTGTAGGATATCATTGTGTTGGAACGAGGTTTGAACGCGAAAGGCGATTGAATTTCAGGTGGGATTGCCATGGAAAAGGAGCGTTTCTATTTGGTAAGCGAAGAAAGCTAGACTGTATGAGATCAAAGATAGAGTTGGGAAGTGTCTTACAGGTTGGAATTACCGTAAGAGTTGTTGATGCATTCACAACACATTCCATGTGTCAAACAAATATATATGGCACCAAAGGGTCCCTAACCTAGCGGTATGTAGTCTTTGATCTTTTAGTAGGCCAGTGGTTCAAACCTCACCAAATGTGAAAAAGGTGTGTGAGTTTATTTGTTGCATTTACCGTATATAAATCTTACATACTTACAAAAACAAATATATATGGCATTTATATTACTTCATCCTTGTTACTGGAGCTCAATTGATCACTACTAAACAACAGACTTCTAATTTCCCAAAATAAGCACATGACAAAACTTATTTTGTGTGTAACATGGGCATGCCCACCACGTTTAGGAACACAATGGTGACCATTTAATTTCGACCTCCTTCGGTGGGCTTAACATCATTTATGTCTCCAATAATTTCTAACACAAGACAAAACTGTATATCTTATATTTCTATCTTTAAAATTACAATAAAAAACATATACTTGAGGGTCGTTTACCAAATACTTACCTGACAAGTACTTATCGGCAAAATTTAACACTATTATTTACTTACCGGGTAAGACTTTAGTCCACCAAAACGACATCGTATACAACAATTTACCCGGTAAGCGTTTACCGTGGTAAGAGTTGTCGCACTCACTTACCGGGTAAGACTCTTGGTCCTTGTCTCGCTCTTACCGGGTAAGATTTTTTGTCCTTACCATATTCATCCGGTGAAATAATGTGACTTGGTAAGCGCTTATTCAGATAAGCGTTTGATAAACGGCCCCTTGGTTGTGCATTTATGTTTCTATAACGATATTGACTATATTAATTAATAAGACGAACATGAAAGAATAGTTTGAGGAGGATAACGTTACTAATTTACTATGTTGTTGTTGTTGTTATTATTATTATTATTGTTATTATTGTTATTATTATTATTATTATTAATAGTTTTATGTTAAATTAGTAAATATTTTAATAAAAAGGGGTAAAATTATGTATTGATGATTACGAGATTAATATGTAGAATTTAGAAGAAAAAAGAAACCGTAACCTAAAAATAAAGAATTCGTTAACACAATTATTTTAAATAATAAAATTAAAGAACCGTTTATCCGAACGCTTACTCGGTAAGAGTTAATATTCACACTTACTTTATTGGTTAAGATTATGATCCATTAAACGGCACCGTGTGAAACAATTACGGTAATTAAACGCTAACTGGATAAAAGTCGTCACTCTCACTTACTGAGTAAAAGTCTTGACCTTAACCATCGTTCTTCCTGGTAAAATTCTTGGTGTATATTATGATCATTCAATAAAGTAGAATATCTAGTGATACTTGCTAGATAAATTAACGCTTAATAAATAACTCGTTAATTCTTGTAAATTGTAAATTTCCACAATCAATCAACTTGCTTATGTTCTTCCTTTTTTTTACGTCACATGTTAAAATTTATTATTTTAATACGGATAAGGTATGTATGTGATCACGAATTTCTTCTGTTTTTCTAAACTAGATCACATTTATTATTTATACAATTATACATAGATTTAATGCTACAACTTTAATTCATTTGTTTTCAAATACTATCAAATTAAATATTTTATAATTATAATTTAAATATTTAATTTTTATTTTACAAAAACAAGCGTAATAAATCCAAAAACAGATTTTTTTTTGGAAAATTGGTTAAAATAATCATTTTTCTAATATAAATTGATTTCTTAGTCATTTTTCTCATTGATTTACCTAAATATAATTATGTTTACAGTTCCCACGTTCACCACTTGCTACCCAGTTAAAAAACAAAATTTTCATCAGATTTGACCTAAGTCCACAATTGCAAAGGTCAAGTCTACAATTTGATTTTTTTTTGTCTTTTAGTTAGATCCGCAAATGGTAGACTTGTGAACGTAGTCATATTTAAATAAATCGGAGAAAAAAATGATCAGAAGATTAATTTATGTAAGAGAAATGATTATTTTGACCAATTTTAAAATTTCCTTATTATAAAAAAGAGAGATCTCTTTGAAAGTATCTATTAAAGGGTATAGAAAATGTATTAATTATAAATTATTTGTTTTAGAGAAGAAAAGGCATAAAATTTTTACTTTATAGAAATTATTTAAGAAAATTTATTAGGTCAATAAATATATTAAATATTTTAATAATATAATCAATCTTTTAAATTTAATTTTCTTTTGATTTTGACTTTTTTATTTAAGGAAAAATCAAAGGTTTTAATGATGTGAGGTGTGGCTTAATTGCGAGGTCAAATCATAATATTTAGGAGTCATTTTTTTTCCGTTTTTTAAGATTTGACTTATGATGACAAATCTCTATATCATATATATTATTTTATACATATATACATATGTTTCTACTATTACTCAATGATTCAACGATTATTAAACAATTTAAATTAGGTTATTTATGAAAAACAAACAAATAAGATATTTAAAATTAAAAAAAAAATCAAATATCAAGTTTCAAAAATCGCATAGTGGGCCATATTATGCCACATGCTTAACATGACATGAGATACAAACCTTAGGTCAAGAAACGTCAATGACGCCATTTGCAAGAAACATTTTGTTACAGTGGAAAAAATAAAGGGAAAATACGAAAATAATCTCCAACAGATTCTCCAAAATGAAGATTTTGAGGATTTTGGTCCAATATATTCTTCAAAACAAAGAAAGTAAGAGAGAGAGGATGTGAAATTCTTGAAATATGGAGAACTCTTACAATTTTAATATTTCATTTTATTCTTTATCTCAGTCGCTGTTATAATATCGTCTTATGTAATTTTGAAAAAAACAATGATGTTTTTATTTTTAACAAAATATAAATTTGAAGATATCATAAAAATTTGACAAAAATATATCGATATTAGTATCAAATTAACTATTTGAAATTCTTTATTTTTTGTGTAATTTTTAATTCAATTTTTTATTATAATTTAATTTAGATTCAATAACGAGGTAATTTATATTTGGTTTAATAATATAATTTTCATATAAAGATAATAATTAATAATTTTGTTAGAACTCGATAATTATTCTAATTATATTTTAGATCTTTTATATTTTAAAATGAGATGTTTATCCTCTATTTGATTATGTTTATCCGCAGTTAGTTACACAGATTCAAACATGGAGCTTTAATAAGTTGTACTTGTGCATAATTTACTTGCAATCTGAAATTTTAAGTAATATGCATCAATGTACAGTACTTCATGCATAAAAATAGTTTTTAAGAGTTTTTGTTAAATGCTTTATAATATAGTATAGATAAATTATCCAACGAGAATTCTTAAAATTAAATGTTAAAAAGTGAGAAATAATGTTTTATTAAATAATTTAATAATATAATTAATATGATAACGTATAAAATAAAAAAAATGTAATTTATTTAAAAAAAAGTTAAAAGAAATACCCAAATTTGTAGTTAGTAGACTACCATTTGTTTCCTATAAATAACCTTCCCTCATTCTCGTTGTTCACAAACGCACAATGAATGGTTCAGTAGTCAATGGTTGCGCCGATTCATCAGTCTCTAAGCGACGAAGGTCATTTTTCTCTTCTTATTTTGATTTATATAAATTAATTTGAATGTAGTTAACATTGCAGTTGGTTTGTATATATATGTGATACAGATTAGAAGGCAAAGTAGCCATAGTCACCGGCGGTGCTAGCGGCTTCGGTGAAAGCACGGTGAGACTGTTCGCTGAACAAGGCGCCAAAGTCTTGATCGCCGACGTCCAAGATGACCTAGGACTTTCTCTTTGTAACGATCTAGTGTCTGAATCCGGATACAATGATGTTATCTACGTTCATTGTGATGTTACTCAAGATTCCCAAGTGAAGAATGCCGTCGACACCGCCATTTCCAAGTTTGGAAAGCTGGATATCATGTTCAACAACGCCGGCATCCCGGGGAACTTGGATTTCACGATCTTAGACACTGATTACGAAAACTTCAAACGGGTTTTTGAAGTCAACGTTTTTGGACCATTATTGGGAGCCAAACATGCTGCTAGGGTTATGATTCCGGCGAAGAGTGGAGTGATTTTGTTTACTTCGAGTTCAGCCTCGGTGGTTTCCGGCGAGTCTCCACATTCTTATACGGTGTCGAAACATGCGGTGGTGGGGTTGATGAAGAACTTGTGTGTGGAATTGGGACAGTATGGGATTCGTGTGAACTGCATTTCACCTGGCTCAGTCTCGACGCCGCTGCTGACGACTGCAATGGGACTGGAGAAGACGGCGGTGGATGATATCGTGTGTTCTTCGGCCGTCTTGAAAGGGGTGGTGCCGACGGCGGAGGATGTGGCGGAGGCGGCGTTGTATCTGGTGAGCGATTCGTCGAAATTTGTGAGTGGGATCAATCTGGTGGTGGATGGAGGTTACAGCACCACCAATCCGACTTACACAAATGTAATCAAACAAACGTTTGCAGCCTTGGCCAAAGACACTTGTTGACGGCAACGATTACCATATTTTGGGGAGTATTTCGAATTATTTATTGTATTTCTTAAAATAAATAATTAAATTATGTGTATTCCAAAGATGTTGGATAATTTTTGATGATGCTTATAATAAAAATACAAATATAAATTGCATTTTTTGGTGTTTTCTTTTTAATTTTAATAAATATATTTGTTAGTTTTAATTATATATATTTGTTATAATCATATGTTTTTTAGTACGTGTAATATTTTATTTGTATTAAAGTGCTATAGCTAAATACGGATGATCATAATTTATTGCATATTTTCACGTACAATTATGATTCAACAAAATGAAATGTCGAATGAGTAAGACATATGCATGGGGTTTAAGTGAAATAGTAATGCATAACATATTATTCTATAATAAATACATACAAGTGTAATTTTAGAAAATATAACGAGCACATCCAAAGCATTGGGTAACGATTTATACCTATATATTTACGTATAAGATCATACAGGCTCAAAACTTGTCCGTTTCTATTTTTTTGACATTAATGTAAAATCACATATGATTTTGTATACTAACGACATTTTTCTTGTTTTCTTAAATATATAGTAAGTATTCTCTTTCGAACCTTCTTATATATATATATATATATATAATATTGTTTTTATATAAATAAATAGAACTTTTAGAGTAAAAATAAGAAGTATTTCGTTTATACACGTATTAATATTTAATTTTTTTACAAACCATTCTTTAACGGAAGATTGATATGTGAATAACTGAAAAAATAAATTTGAAAATATAAATATGAACCCATATAAATAATCTGTAACATCACTTCACATATGTATCTTCGATCAAGTATATATTTTTTTTCCTGATTTTCTCAGATTAACCTTATTTTTTATATTCTAAAAATATTTAACCTCGGCTACCCATCCCATAAAATATGTAATATATCCATATGTTGGCATTGCATATATAATCATAGTATTTCCTTCGTCCCAAAATAATTGTTAACCATTTAAATGACACATAATTTTAAATGACAACTTTATTTTTATTTAATTTTGTTATGTTTAAACATGAATCAAGGTATAGTTGAGAATTTAATTATCTTGAACATTCATTTGAAGTATTCCTCAAACATCAACATATGAATAAGTTATAACAATGAAGGCTAATATATGATACATGTTTAAAAAAACAATAATGGAATTTAAATAAATAATAAAAAAGAAATTCCAAATGTGGGACATTTATTAAAAATTGCAATAGAGCATGAAGCTTGGGTCCATTTAGATTTATTGCCAATGGTCCATCTCTATCTTATATTTATTATTATTATTATTATTACACCTCAAAGGGTTGTCATTTCTATTTTTTTGGATCAACTCAAATATTTTAGAAGCCCAGTCTTTTAATGTTTACTCAACCAACCAACCATTTATTTTCTATTTTTTTTTCTCTCTCTCTCTCATTCATATATATATATATATATATATATATATATATATATATTATAATTAGAGGGCATTTTAGGTATTTTAAAAAAAAACTCCTCTCCTCTCTTCTCTTCTCTCTCCTCTCTCATCTCTCATCTCTCCGATCTTCAATCTCCGGCCTCCGGTGAATAAAAATCTGGTAGGTACCAAGTAATCACAAAGATACACAATGTGATACCCATTGTGATATACTGTGACACCATTTGAGTACCAATGTATATCACAATGGGTATCACATTGTGTATCTTTGTGATTACTTGGTACCTGCCGGATTTTTGTTCACCGGAGGCCGGAGATTGAGGTCGGAGAGATGAGAGAGGAGAGAAAAGAAAGGAGAGAAGAGTTTTTTAAAAATACTTAAAATGCCCTATAATTATAATTTTAATTCAAACTACCATAATTATTAATTTCGTAATTTATCCGTTGATTTGTGGTTGAGATTGGATCTCATAGTTATCACAAACTAATCAGTTCTTTCTTGAATGCCCTATAGGGTATATTTCAAATGCAACCATGTCCATTTATACAACCAATGCAACCTAATTAATTGAGATAATTATGGAAATGATGAGAGTTCATTTATTATGATTTGAATATTTATGGAAGATGAATAAGATTCATTAATGATGATCAATACTTTATATTAGTAAACAATCAAAACTTCTATGAAATCACACATTCATCAAGCTAAATGGTCAGTTGAGATTGAGTTGTGTTGGTTGTACAAATGTAAAAGGGTTGTATAATAACCAACCTCTCTCTATATATATAGACTTGGGATCATGTGAGACCAATGGTTTTTCGTGAGACCCGTAAGACCAATTCTCAATCCTTGGATTAGATCTACAATATGACAATCTAAATATTCATAACGTCATGAGACTTCTCAATAATCACAAAATTGCCACCGTGCAATTTAGACCATTAGGTCATTAACTTATAAAGTTGATCAATGAATATAAATTGGTCTTACGAAAAACCCTTGGTCTCACATGAACCCAACCCTATATATATATATATATATGTATATATATGTATATATATATATATATTTATATATATATATGTATATATATATATATATGTATATATATATATGTATATATATATATGTATATATATATGTATATATATATGTATATATATATATATGTGTGTGTGTGTGGGGGGGGGGGGAGTTATTCAAATGAGAACTCAATAATTTGTGATAATCGTGAGATTCAATCTCAATCACATCAAAGGTCAAATTGAAAAATTAATAATTATGATAATTTGAACTTAAAATATTAATTAAGGGCATTTTTGAGATTTAAAAAATCTCATCTCTACTCTCTCCGTTGAACTTTATTCCTACAGATTTTATTTTGACAAATCCTATATGAACACAATATAAACACTATGATACCTAAAAAAATATTGTTAAAAAATATATACAAACGATATTCATTGTAATACCCATAAATACATATGAGTTATGCATAGTGCGATAACTTTGTAAAATAACTAAAATAAGAAAAATACACATTGTGGTACTCTTTATAAAGCAATGAAAATAACGAAAATGCATACTGTGATATACTTTATAAAACAATAAAAATACGTTGTGAACATTATCATTGTGATACAATTTGATCCACATACACTTTTGAAAGACAATATATATTAGGTACTTAAAATTATCATATATTTCCTTAAAAAAATTAATTAAATCTTTTGATAATTTGTTATAAATTATCAAATATATTTCCTATAAATTATCAAATATATTTCCTTAAAATTATCATATATTTCCTATACAATTGGTTAATAACTAGTTTCGTATCCATGTAATATAGCTACGATATAAATTTTATTGTAAATGAAAACGGAAAACTGATGTAATTCGTTATTAAAAAGGAAAATCGGAAATTTATGGAGTATTCCCTTGTATTCATACGATTCAATTCTTATCAGTTATCATGTATTTGAATATGTTTGTGTAATTCGATGTTGAACTTTAATAAATTATATACATGTAGTAAAAGTTATAAACTAAAATTCTAATTAATGCATTGTAACAAATTAATATAAATAGTAAAAATTAATTAATAAGAGTTGGTTTTTCTTTCTTTAGGGACAACCACCAAATGGAAAATCTTACCGTTGTTTTCGAGAAACTAAAGTTGTTAGATGTGTGTTCTCCATCTTGATTTTCTGAACACTTGGCCGTAGTTTGGTACGGTCATCATAAATTAGTCAAGATTGGGAGTTACAATTTATGATGATGTTAACATGTTGACAAATTAAACCAAACGTTTTTTTTTCCTAACGATACGCCCACAACACACTAGTCAACAACTATGGTGCAGATTTCGAGAATCGTGGCATTTATTCAAGCCTGTACTTATGTAGGATAATATATATAGGGTTTCATACCATCATTAATGATTCCATTATGGTAAAAAAAAATTAAGGTGCTCAAATCATTTTGTGTCTAATATTTGTAACGAACAATTCTCCATTATAACTTGTATATCATTTAATAAAGAATAAATTACATTTTTGGTTCTTGAGGTTGCCGTCATTACTTACGGTAATCTTTTTTTTAAGTAATTACAACTTTGGTCATTGTGGCTGTCAATATGTTTCATTGATGGTTCATCTAACTAACTTTTGTTGAAAAAGAAGTAAACAACGTACAAAGTTGGGGTCCTTTTAGTTTGTCGAAAATAACACTTTTCGTTCATACAATTTCGAAATTACAAAGTGGCAATCGTGGTTTGCAAAAATATCAGTATCTTGTCCTTCGCTAAATCAAATCAAACTAGAAGCGCAAACAAAACTCTTTTCGTTGTAAATCAACTTCTTTCTAAAACTATTATTTAACGTTTACCTAACCAACCGACCATCAATTTTATGTGTTTCTCTCTCTCTCTCTCTCTCTCTCTCTATATATATATATATATATATATATATATATA